TGTCCATGGGAGCAATGTCACTTTGCACTAGCAGGAGAAAAAATTTATCCCAAACGAGATCATGGCAAGGTTTGAAATGCTGGTGTCAGTCACTAGAGGGTGGTCTTTGACAGAGGTACCATCTTCTCTCGCCTTCGTTGTGGACCTGTAGCTGGTTAAACTCTTCTAGCAAGATGCTACGTTTGTGTTGAATGAGAATGGTTGGGTAATTCACTTGTCTTGTATTTTTTGTCCCAGTGCCCCTTTTGTAATCCTAGTTCTTCTCTTCAGCCTTCAACTTGTTCTTTTCTTGCTTTTAGAACTCCACTGGATTTCCCCAAGGACCTGTCTTTCTGGGGACCTAGAATCCTTTCAAAGAAGGTCTTCCCCTTTAAGCCTTTAGTCTTTTGATTGGTATATAAAGTTTATGTTCTGACTCATTCTGGGGATCGGGTTTCCTTCCCTGTGCTCTGCTCCACATCAGAGATGACTTCTGGGATGAGCTGTGAAGCTTGAAGACACCATGTGTCTTTTACTGCCTCTTCCAGTGACCTTGAAGCTCCTTCCTTGGTAAGTGTCTGACATGAGAGCTGGACCATCTGCTCTCTGGTCCCCAGGAAGCTGGCAATTTGAGTCAGTGATAAAACAAAGAGAGATTTCAAAAAGGAAGAGTCCCTGCATACCTGTAGGTAGGAACTGAGCAAAAGGAGGGGAAAAAACCATTCTTAAAGCTCAGCCAGCTTGGGGATTGAGTAGTTACTGAAAGAGAGGAGGGGTGGGGTGCTTTACTGCTGGGGGTGACGGCTGGAGAAGCCAGAGTCAGCTCTTCCTGGGGAAAGGTAAGGGACAGGTGAAGGCTGGCAGCTCTTCCTTTCAGGGAGCCCGTAAGCAGTGGGCTGTGCAACCTTCTTGTTCAGTAGGTGTAGCAGTAAGGGCAGAGCCTGTGCCAGGCTCTGCTGTGGGTGAAAGGATTGTAGGAGCATGAAGGCTCCCTGCAAAAAGGGATCAAACTGCCCAGGGGAAGAAATACAAAACAGACTACAGGAGTAAAACCAAGACAGCTTACTGCTTCTCCTCCATCTTCTTGTGTACAAAGTCTTCCTACCGAGCACCTGGGGAGCTCTGCCCAAAAGGTGTGTCATCTTGCTGACAGGAGCCTGTCACACAACAGGACTTTTTGGTCTTACTGTGTGTGCAGTTCTCTCGCAGGAAGCACAGGAGATCTGACTGCCCTGCATTAATTTTGGTGGTATTGTACAGACAGTCCTACATAATTGAAAACTTAGTCTTGATTTATGAATTTCTATGCAGAGGGAATCAACCACAAACTCAGTATGCATTTGCAGGAGCTTTATTACCTTCAGAATTAAACATGCTGAGCTTTATTCTTTTTGTGCAAGCTTATAATTATAATCACATCAGCTTGCACCAAAGCTATCCCTTACCGTAGTATGTGGATGAATTCTCTGCTGAATAAAATCACAAAAATGGACAACACATTTCACATCAAGATGCTGTCAGCTGTATGATGTACAAGTTCTGGTGGTGCTTCATAGCTAGCTGCATCAGATTTCTGGTGTATCGCTTGGATCAGGTCTAATCTCTATGATGAAGTGGGTATTTGTCCAGCTCATCACAAGGGAGTGCTTGAAGACACAGTGATACTCTTGTATTAGGTGGGAGGCTGTAGTAGAAACAACCAGTTTCAGGTTTTATTTGTTTGAGCACTGATGCTGTCAAAGCCTTTCAATATTGTCTTCCCTGTTCACAGTGATTTGGGGGTGAGTAATGCTGTGGTTCCCTTTGCTGCTTCTACATAAATGCAGATTTACTGTTTCCAGGCAGGACACATTTCTTACTCCTTTTCCACTTGCCCCTAATGTGAAGTGATCAAGTAGGATTTTATTTGCAATAAAGCCACTCTTTTGAACAGGCACAGCATGGGTAAATGCAGGCACCAGCACAGGCTTGGTCACTTGGGCTCATCCTGGAGCCTCGCACTACCCTGACCAAAGCAACCCTGGTGCAGTTCTGGTCATCAAATGATTATTTTTAATTCTACTTCTTTTTTTTTTGCCTCTTGTTTTGCTGTAACTGGATGTTCCCTTTTCTTCTGTTTATGTTGCTGTGGTTTGGGGTCAGGGCAGCCCCAAGAACCGTAACAGATGCTCTCTGTTAACCCCCTCCACCCACCCCTGAAAGGGAAAAGGGAATAAAGGAGAGAGACTTGTTGATTAGAAAAGAAAACAGTTTTAATACTACCACTAGTAATAATAGTAATAGTGATAAAAAATGAGACTATGTACAAATATATACAAAGTTAGTTCTGAACCCAACTCCCCCCTGTTGGCAACATGTCACCGTCACCCCTGGCTAGGGAGCAGCCCCCAGGGAGAAGTCCCAGCCTGGACTCAGCCACAGAGGGAGACTGGGCACAGGAGCTGGGTTCTGGAACTTGGTTCAGGAACACAGGGCGCAGGAT